CTCCCTGTTGATGAAGAACTCCAATGGTGTCTCTAGCCTCATCCTCTATGCTTCCTCTCAAAAGATTAAACCCTAGAATAGTCTATATGCTCAAAAGGTGCATCATATTCCTTTTATAGGTAGGTCAAGTGGCACACAAAATGAGCTGGGGTCGTGTAAAGAATATTCTCTAATGATTGGATTGAGGACGGATTGCACAAGCTGGAAATTTAACTTTTTCGCACTGGAGGAAATTCGATCGATCGAACCTTGGACTTGGATCGATCGAACTGGCTGAGATCTATCGAACTTAGGCTGGATCGATCCAACTGGCTGAGTTTTTTGGGAAAAGACAAATCCGAGATATTTTGGGAGATATTTATGGGAAAAGGACAAAAGTGGTTAGTGGGTGGTACAGCTGTGAATGGGATCAATCATTTGGATAAGGACAAAAGTGTTCGATCGATCGAAGGGTGGTGTTGGATCGATTGAACTTTTGGACTTTATGCTTTTGGGTCAAGGCTTAGATCTATCTTGAAATGCTGAGATTGATCATTGTTCTATCGATCGAACCTTGAACTTGGATTAATCGAACTTTGCTACTTCCCACCTTTGGCTTCATTTACTTTATTCTTTCTCCATTTTGCTCATTTCTTTGTTTAATCCCTTAATTGTTTCAATTAAGCTCTTATTTGGTTGAGTTAGCTTATTTTCGGGATAAGTGCCTGAAAATGGAAATAATACGAAATCAATCTAAAATAGTAAAGTAAGATAGATAAAGGTACTAGAATGCCTAACCTTAAGGGGTTTAAATACGCACTTTTCAGCACTCATCAAGATGGGTCCAAAATGTATGGGATTGTTGAATATATCTCACTTCAGATGGACCATATTTCTTGGTCAAATGGTCAACAGACTATACCACATCATCAACAATGGCCCACAAAGCTTGGTCAAATGGTTAACAAGCGACGCCACATCAGAAACGATGGCCCACAAGTTAAACGGTCTAAATTGCATGACACTTACCACGTTAGTATACCTCAAACAGAAGATAGAAAACTTGAAGACCTAAGTTGGGAGCATGACTCAGGATTACTTGGGATCCGAGGTGGACTGAGAGAGGTGGAAACATAGGCAAACTCGAGAGAGATAGAGTGAATCTGGCAGTGTAGTAGCACACCATTAACTCCCTTGATGAAGGTGTATGGAGGAAGCATGAGAGGTTATTTAACCTTCACCCTTTTCTGTTCTACCTCTCGCTTAGCCTTAGATCACTTCCTTATATAGGCCAAGTGAGAGGTTGGGTGATGTCATATGACATCACATGTGGGGCCCATTAACATTATAAAATAAAGTTAATTGAGATGGGTCAAAAATGTATGGGAGTCAAAATGGTATCTCTCTTTCTATGAGTCAGGTCGAGTGTCAATTCAACGAGCCCTGGACTTCATCCACCAAACCAAGAACCTTCTCGGATCCCAAGTAATCCTGAGTCCTGCTCCCAACTCAGGTTTTTAAATCTTCGATCTTCTGTTTGAGGTATACTAATGTGGTAAGTGTTATGCAATTTAGACCGTTTGACTTATAGGCCATCGTTTCCGATGTGGCGTCGCTTGTTGACCATTTGACCAAGCTTCGTGGGCCATTGTTGATAATGTGGCATAGTCTGTTGACCATTTGACCAATAAATGTGGTCCATCTGAAGTGAGATATATTCAACACCTACATTTAGTTGAAGTTCAGGGCTCGTTGAATTGACACTCGACCTGACTCATAGAGAGAGATATATACCATTTTGACTCCCATACATTTTGGACCCATCTCAATTAACTTTATTTTTTAATGTTAATGGGCTCCACATGTGATGTCATATGACATCACCCAACCTCTCACTTGGCCTATATAAGGAGGTAATCCAAGGCTAAGCGAAAGGTAGAACAGAAAAGGGTGAGGGTTAAATAACATCTCATGCTTCTTCCATACACCTTCATCAAGGGAGTTAATGGTGTGCTACTACACTGTCATATTCACTCTCTTTCTCTCGAGTTTGTTTGTGCTTCCACCTCTCTCAGTCTACCTCGGATCCCAAGTAATCCTAAGTCCTGCTCCCAACTTAGGTCTTCAAGTCTTCGATCTTCTGTTTGAGGTATACTAACGTGGTAAGTGTCATGCAATTTAGACCGTTTGACTTGTGGGCCATCGTTTCTGATGTGGCGTTGATTGTTGACCATTTGACCAAGTTTTGTGGGCCATTATTGCTGATGTGACATAGTCTGTTGACCATTTGACCAAAAAATGTGGTCCATCTGAAGTGAGATATATTCAACACCTACACAACTATACCCTTCTTCATAAAGTTTTTCTTTTATAAAATAAGGACAAATCTAGTATTCACAAAAGTTTCATTAAAAATTCAGTCTTTCCTTCCCTTTCCATCTTTATTTTGGAAATTTTTTTGTTTTTTTTTTTTTTATAGAAATTTGAAGCTACTAATATAATTAAAGTAATAGGTACGTGGAGGGCCTTCGCCCAAAACAACCCAATGCTGGGAAAAACTTAGTCCAAAAGGTAGACAAACAAGCCCAAAAGGTTAAAACAAGCTCTGGGAATTCACATAAAATATACCTCGATTTAGTGAGGTAAATACTAAAAGTTGATATGAACAATTACAGCTAAAAGATTCGATCAGGATGAATAATTAAGAATGTCGTCTGAAAATTAGTCATAAGCTAAAGGTCCATTGAAGCTACAATTCAAAAAATACGAAGACCCAAAGAATATCTCCTTTTGTTTCAATTCAAAAAATAATAATAATAAAAAAATCATAGTTTATAAGAAGAAAAAAATATCAAATTCCCACCAATTTCAATGTAATGAGAACGCTCAATTCTATTTATGCTTAGATCAACTTGTTTCCTTATCAACCTTCGTTTGTTTGTTTGTTTGTTTTTTTTTTTTTTTTGAGACAATTGTAAGAATATTATAAATCTGTTATTATATATTCAAATAACAACTTTGTGAGGTTTAAATTTTTAATCTTTTGTTTAGAGCAGTCACTTAGATATTGAGGAATTAATATATGTTCTAACCAATCACATGCAGTTACATAAATTTATTTTTTTTTCTGAATTATCTTTTCAAATTGATTTCATGTATATTTTTAGTGAGACTAAATTTACATAATTATAAAATCAAATAAAATAGCAAAACAAAATAAACATACCAATAGAAAATAACGTAGCAAGCACTAATATTTCATTCTCAACACAATGGTTATCTTTACTATAAAGTTAAGAAAAGAACTAAAACAAATATTGCATGCAGCAACAAGTCATATGTCTTGCATCATAATATTGGTACATTATAAAATCTTATTACAATTTGCATGTTTCATATAGTGTTTTGTGCCTTTAATTAGACTTTTATACCATAATATTGGTAGGTTTCTGTTGGTACGTTATTTTATTTTGTTTTTTAATTTTATTTCAAAATTTTATAAATTTAGTCTCACTACAAATCATACATGAAATCACTTTTGAAAAAAAAAATTGGGAAGCTTTCTTTGATATATAGAGTCGTGTGCTCCTATAAACCCAATTTTATGACAAAAGTGCCCCTTATTGAGCACATGCCAACAATATGATGTGGGTTAGTTTTGTTATTCCAGAAATACCCTTCATCCCTTCACCTGTATTCCTTTCCTTCCAACTCTTCATCTTGATATCATCTCCTCTCTCTCTCTCGAACCGTGCAATCACGCAATTACTTGATATTCGGAACTCATCTTGATACATAATTGGACACCCACACAATTACTGGATATTTGATAAAAATGAAATACTATATATGAGAGAGAAAATAAGGTATTATTGTCTATCTCGGACCGTCGCGTCCAAAGTGAATTTTGCTAAATGATCTTGGAGTTAAGAACCCAACTGACTGGGAGATTGTAGAAAATTATTGACAATGACGCGAGGCAACGTTCAACGGCATCCTACTTGGTGATGCTTTGTAATTTACCGGAGCAATATCATCAATGTTATTCTTGTAATTTACAAAATACTAATTTTAAACCTTTAAATATATTGGTATATCAAAGGGTTATTTTTGTCATTTACCACTGTGATAACGTTCTGAAGTGTAGGGTTTTTTTTGAATTCCAATGGGGGGTTTTATGCACAGATATGAAAGTAGGAGGGACCCTAATATTAGTCAAAGATTAGATTGCGGACTGTGGCATGGCAGCCACTACAATGTTGGATATGTGTGTGTGTGTGGAGAGAGAGAGAGAGAGAGAGAGAGAGAGAGAGAGAGAGAGAGCGTTTTTTTTGAATTCCAATGGGGGGTTTTATGCACAGATATGAAAGTAGGAGGGACCCTAATATTAGTCAAAGATTAGATTGCGGACTGTGGCATGGCAGCCACTAGAATGTTGGATATATGTGTGTGTGTGGAGAGAGAGAGAGAGAGAGAGAGAGAGAGCGCGCGCGCTCCTTAAGTTAGATTAGAAGAATTAAAAAAAATGTGATTATTGAGAAATTCTGTAAGCAGAAGTTTATCAAATAATGATTTTTAGTTCAATTCAACTAAAAAATTGGACAAAATATAGACAATGAATTCAATTAAATATATAAATGCTACCACAGATTTACCACCCACATAGAAATCAAACGAAAGAGGCCCTCATAGTAGTTTTAAACTTTCATCCGTTCCAAAGTCTTGTTTGGGTTGATGAAAAAAGAGAAGTGAATAAAAAAATAAAAAATAAAAAAATAAAATTTTAATTGTTCGTCGAGTTTGTATGAATTTTTGTAATATATATATATATATATATATATATATAATTTTATTATTTGAATAGTATGAGACTTACATTATTGTTTATAAAATTATCTATAAAAAAAAAAATGTTTTTTTTTAAAAAATAATTAGAAACTTAAATAATCATGAAAAGTAATATTTTTTTCAAAATTTTCTAATTCGGAGAATAGAACAAATCAAGAAATCCTATTCCTTGCTTACGAGAACAGAAAATCAAGAAAATAAAAAAGTAAAAGCACAAAACCGAGAGAGAAGCCCTAGAGTGTTTTTGCACCTTTTATGGCCACCACAGTAAAGATTTTGTATATGGTAGAATAGGGTGATCAATTTTCCCTCCAAAAACAAACCGCATTCCTCGCATCTCTCTCTATTTTCCCTCCACTTCTCCAACCCTAATTTTATTTTCTCTCTCATCTGTATCTTCCGTTCACCCAATAACACGACAATCTTCATCCACTTCGCCTCATTAGTATGTAAGACCCTTATAATTCGACTCGTGATTATTTTCAATTTTCCTGATATAGTCGGAGACGAGTATATATCTATATATATATATATATATATATATATATATTTGTATATCTATCTATGTCAATTAATTTTTTTTTTTAGAATTCGTTTCATAAAAATCAGTTTTTTGCTAGGTTTAAGTATGGATTTGACTTTCGATTGCAGGTAATTAAGTTGGGAGCACTTGGTGGTGGTGGTGATGATGAGATGAAACCGAATAAGATGAATTTAGCTGTGGATCTTAGTGAGAACGATACTCAGACCTTTGACAGTCAGTTTTCTCCAGTTTCAGTATCTGGTAAATTCTATTTATCTTTTAGTCGTATGCGGATTTATGTTAATTGTCTACTTCTAAGTTTTTATTTTTAATTTTTAATTTTTCACAGATAGAGAAAAAGACATCTTTGTTGAATTAGGATTTTGATTAGATAGAACATTTGTGTGTTTCAAGTTGGCATTTTATTATTATGGCCAGCAGCCAACAAATATTAATTCGACATCAGTGAAGAAAATAATAGAAACAAATCTTGGTTGAACTACAAGCAGGGAAATGTGGGTTTTTTTTTTTTTTTTTTTTTTTTTTTTTTGTCATTATTATTTTTTTAATCTATTGTCGTGTAGTGTGGCTGTGTTTATTTTATTACATTTGCTATTGAAATAAAGAGTAATATGTGATGGAGAGTATGGTCGGTCGATCAAGTTTCAATTTTTATGATACAGTGAGCCACACCATTACCTAATTTGACTAGATAAAGATAGAGAATGTAGTTGTGATTCCCTTTAAGAATTGCTATAGGTGTAAATCATGTGTTAATGTGTAAATATTATGATCAAGTTTGATTTTTTTTACCATGGCCACCTGACATGTATGATTTGACAAACATGAATAAGCCAGAAGAGTTAAATTTTGGTTGCATTAAGGTAGAAGAATGTTGTGCTGCTGATGCTAAATTTGAGGAATTACCGAGTCTCTAATATATTTGGTTGATTCTTATGAGAATGCAGTAACCCACATACAATTTGACAAATGCAAGGAATTTAAGAGTAAACAGTTATATGTGGGTATGATAGTTTCTATTCTCAATAGCTCAGATATAAAATTTTGAAAAATACGAAGAACTTTTGGTCATATTTGGAAGCATTAATTATGGGACGGAGCAATTACCAAGTAATTGCCCCCCTGAATTTTTAATTTTTTACTAATATACCATGTTATTTTTTTTTGTTTTTCAATGTATACCCCTAAAATATTGCTAATGCCCCCCTAAAATTATTACAAAATTTCAGTCTTGCCCCCCTTACCTAAAGTTCTACACCCGCCCCTGATTATGACATTACACATTTGTTGACAAATAAAATAGGTGAGGATTTCAAAGGTCAGGATGTTGATGAGTTACAGTTTCTACAAAAGTCTGTGCCTTTTGATGATACTATTCGACTTGAGAACACATTTGAGACCCAGGTGGTGAATCTTGGTGGTGAAACCCAAGTTTTGGATGATCCAGACTGCGTCGAGAATATGGACACCCAGTTGTTATTTGAGTGCAATGAAGGTATTGTCGATAGTGATGGTGAGGGAACTGATAGAACTGAAGTTTTGGATGATACTGATGAGGTGTCTGATGGCGACTCTTTGAAAAAATTTGGCAATCATCCAGTTGATTTGGCAAATATGCTACATGGCACTCTTTGCAAAAAAGGTGATCAGGGATTTAAAGTTGAATCAAATGCTTTAAGTAATGAGCAATGTGGTTCAGGTCAGTATTTTTAGAGTAAAGATGAGAATTTGATATTGTTCTTGCTTCTGTATATTCATGTATTATCTTCTAAAATTTTGTCATCCTACCATTTTCTGATGTCACTTCTTGGTTTACGATGAATTCCTAATGACATTTACTAACGTTCCTACGGTTTTATTTATTTATTTGGGACAAGTCATGAACGCATTCTAACTTGAAAAAGATGAATAAGCCATAGAGAATAACCCAGATATACAAATTTGACAAATACAAGGAACTTTCTGGTCATCTATTTTATGAGATTTCCCATTTTTGAAAAATGAAATAGGTGAGAGATTTGAAGGTGAGGATGTTGATGAGTTACAATTTCTACAAAGTGCTGTCCCTTTTGATGATACTGTTCCACTCGAAGATGCATCTGAGACCCAGATGATGAACCTTGGTGGTGAAACCCAAGCATTGGATGGTCCTTGTGTTGAGGACATGGGCACCCAGTTGTTAGTTGAGTGCGGTAATGAAGTTGTTGACGATAGTGATGGTGAAGCAACAACTGGAACTGAAGTTTTGGGTAATCAGGAATTATCTGATAATGACTCTGTTAAAAGAGTTCACAATGATCCAGTGGACCCAGAGAATATCCTATACACCACTCTTTGCAAACAAAATAATCGGGGATTTAAAGCAGAGTCAGATGCTTATAATGAGCTGCGCAGTTCAGGTCAGTCCAGTTTCAATAAAATATGAAATTTTATTTTGGTTCTTACTTCTAGAAGTTTATATATTCGGATTTCCCTTTCTGAGTTTTGATTACCTTGCAGATATATGTTGCGACTTTCTGTTTATTCTTAACGATGCAAATTTTGACCACTACTTCAAATATGTTTGGGCCTGTAATTGAAATTGATTTGGGAAATTTACCTTGTATGGGTAATTTTCATAATGATACATTATCCTGAATGGAGTCACTTCCGGAAATGGCAGCCATCATCATATATTATTTTTAGTGAAAGGAAAATGTTTTATAAAAATCTTTGCTGATCTACGTTTTAAAAAAATAAATAAAAAATCTTTGCTGATCCACTTAATCAGCTGTGGTGGTGAGTACACATTCTATTAATAGCTCGATTTCGGATTGGTTAGTTTGTACCTGAAAGCATAGCTCTACTCTATTTTCATATGGTTACACATTTTGGTGCTTATTATCTTTGACTTGCTACAAGTTATTACTTGCCTGTTGTGTCCAAAGTAATTCTTTTTTTCCCTGCCAGAACTCAATGTGTCTACCGCAACACCACTGGACATAGACACTGGAGGACCAAAAGCAGGTACCATTTCTAGTCTTTTGCTGTTTTGCATCATTACAATATGTATGACATTTTTTTAACAGTAATTTTATAAGAATGTTACTCATGTTGGGTTTGACTTGAATAAAGGGAAGAACGTTACTCATGTTGGGTTTGACTTGAATAAAGGGACATTATTTCCCAAGCTGATGATGATTATTCCTGATAAAACTATCTATTGTTTTCCTTATCATTATGCCTCGCTGTTGGTGTTTGTGTTCACTGCCTCAGAACTTGCAGATAAGGTGCAGTAGAATATTGAACATTCATGTGCTAGATGAAGCCACCATTATATATGTATATATTGGAAGCTGACATTATTTTAGGTTATACTGATTTTTAGTTAATATTTGATACTAAATGCACTGATGCCCCATTTTATCTTGACATGACTTGCGTTTATCTCTGATGTTAAAGGCAGTCAATTTTTTCCAGCAAATGACATGATTTTCATATTTAATTTAAATTTGGATAATTGTAGCGAGACATCAATGTAGAGCATCTTTATTTTATTATCACAAAGTATTGTTATGCTGTTATTCCTTCAAACTATGTTCTTTTATTTTTATTATTTTTGATATATATTTTTCAATGTTTCTGTCAGAGCTGATGAATTTTCATGAAATTTGTGCTGACTATCTGGCTTACCTCACTTAGAAAAGTTTTATACACTGAATCAATGGTGAAGTAATAATTTTTGCTTTTTGAGCACTTCATCATTCTTTTTTATGGGAAATAATTTAAATTGTCACCATGCTAGAACTACCTCCTTACCCAACCTCTCAAGAAATAAAGAGGACTTCTTTTACCAGAACAATTGGTTGCATTTGGCATGCCTTATTTACTTTGGATTTAGAACTGGTGAATTTAATGAAAATTTAATGCACAGTGAAGTGTGAATGTAAGGGTATGAAACTGTAATATCAATCTGGAATATTAATTATTGACTTGTTGACACAGGATCTGTTAGAAAGGGTTTTACTTCAGTTCGTGCAGCTTCTTTACGGGCCTCTGGTTTGGCAGCTCGTAGAAAGTCTTTTGAGGGAACCAATAGTGGGTCATGTTCCATTGGGAGCGAGTATCAGTCTGTAAAAGAACATATCTTTGAGGATGATGGTGTACCTAGAGATTCATTTCAATTTGGGGAACCAGTTAATCAGGAACATATTTTAGGGGACTACAATGAACAAATGATGGGATTTAGAAATGAAAACAAGTGCAGGCTGGGTAGTTCAACAGTTAGGAAACTTTTCACAGAGGATACACTTGCTGAGATCAAGGAACCTAATGGTCACATCTATAATGCCGCTGGAGGAGCAGACTTACCTCAGTTGCTTGCTTGCGATAAAGAGTTGGCAGGATTGAGCTATGTTGACTCTCAAGAACCTGGAGAGTCATCGCAAGCGAATGCACTTGATTTCGTGGACAGGTTTCTGAAGTTCAGCGTTACAGAGTTTGATCAAGAAGCTCACCATGGAAAGTCCACCGGTGATAAATCAAAGCATGTCTCTAGTGCAAAAGGAACTCAGTGTGTGGCCAGGAGAGCTAATTGTAAAAGCACAGTTAGTAGGATTTTTGATTGGGATGATAACCTTGAGGATGAAAGAGGAGGAGACTTTTTCAGCAAAATGAAGGAATCATTCTTTGATAATGGAGATCAGAGCCAGAGATCTTTTACCAAAACTCGGAAGCTCAGGCGTCCTGACTCCAAAAGAAGTGGGGCAGTTAATGAGTCCAGAGACAAGGAAGAGCTACTAGACACCCATGAAAAAATTGTTGGTATATTTCATTCAGATTCAAGGTTAGAATTTCATAATGAAAAAGGTATTGATACAACAGCAAAGCTAACTAGAACAAAAGTTCGAAAGAATCTTATCAAGGCGGCGGATGAACAGCTAAACATAGGTTCCTCAGATGCATTGGAGGCTACTGGTATTCAAACGGATATGCTAGACATGCTGAATGTAGGATTTGATACTCAAATGGCTGCTGAAGCAATGGAAGCCTTGTGCCACAGGGTGGACATTTCTGATTGTGACCGCAGTGATGCTAATCAAGGTGCCAAAAGCATGTCCAATGATTCTCTTAATGGAGGAAAAAAGAATAGAGCACATTTTAAGCATAATTTTCTTCAGAAGAAAGAGAGTTCTTCTAATTGCAGAGTTGTTGCAAGACAGCCCAAGCAAACAAATAGGATTGATGCCAAACAGAGCAAAGACTCCCCTGTTTCATCGCGCAAACATTCTCAGAAGGTCAAGAAGCCATCCGATATAGATCTGGTAAGCACCAAACTGAAGAAGGCCAAGTGTAATGCTGAAGAACTCCTTGCCACCAATAATTGCTGGGACAACAGACCTTCTGAAGTTGTTAAGAAAGGAAAGGGAAAAAAATCTCTAAAACTAAATGACATTGATGAGTCTGATAAATGTCACGTTACTGCATCATCAAGTGGGCGTATGTCAGTCAAGAAACAGGATTTGCAAGAACAACTTGGTACTTTTACACCCATAGCTTGTCGAACCAGGCAGTGCAAGAAAGCAATAACCCAGGCTGGAAATGCATCAACTGATGTTAGAGAAGGGATTAATGATCTGACTGAAGTTGCTGCCCTCAAAGGCAAAAGAAAAAGGAGTAGTAAAGGTGTTGATTCTTTTGAGGTCTTAAATGATACACAGAAATTTTTTAGATTGGGTTCCATTCTATCTGGAGAACTTGAAGATGCCAAATTGTCTGAGCACAAGCAGCCTGGGCCAAAGTTTACTGGTAAGGCTGCTGCTCTCAAAATTGATGAATTGAGCTGTCTTAGAGGAAGAAGAACTCATCGAAAGTTGTCAGGTCAGTTAAACAGAACTGCTAACCAACATGGATCATCCAAACAATGTGTTGGTAAAGAAGCTAATGCACAATCTATTGAAAGGTTAAAAAGGTCAAAAACTGATGCTATAAGCACTTGCATGGATCTAAACATAAAGAGGCAAACACGTTCATCTACTCATGCTGGTTCAGTTTTGTCTTCCTTGGACTTTCAGTCTGACCAAAGATCTTTACAACAGAGTGTAGTTAGAGGACGTTCAGGGGATGCTACCATAAATCATAATTCTGTTGATATAAATGGGAACACGATTCTGAAAGATGTAGATGGGGTTCAGGCATCTCAGCAGGTTGACAGAAAGAGTGATGCAGATAAGTCATCATCTGCTGATTGTGTTGGAGTCAATGGGAGGTTAGATACATCGCCAAGAGAGGGATGCAAACCATCTGGGTCAGAATGTGCTACTCCTGTTAATTGTAGGACACCTATAATTGAGGCATCACCTATATGTATGGGTGATGAGTATCTTAAACAGTCGTGCAGGAAGAACCTGGCAAGAGCATCCCTTATGAAAGAGCTTGATAGTTTAATTGGCAATGGATTAGAATGTACTTCTCCATTCAAAGATTCAAGGAAAAGGAGAGATATGGCTAATATTCGAGCTCTGTTCAGTCACCACTTGGATGATGATACAATCAAGCAGCAGAAAAAGGTAGTCATTTGTGTACCTTCCACACTTTTATTGATACAACAGGTTCAGACTTCAAACTATGTATTGCTGTTGATTTGTTGTCACAGATTTTGGCCCGTTTAGGAGCTTCAATAGCATCATCTATTTCCGTTGCCACACACTTTATAACAGATAAATTTGTGCGTACAAGAAATATGTTAGAAGCTATTGCTTTTGGCAAACCAGTGGTGACACATTTATGGCTTGAGAGCTGTGGACAAGCTAGCTGCTTTATTGATGAGAAAAATTACATATTGAGAGATGCCAAAAAGGAAAAGGAGTTTGGTTTTAGCTTACCAGTTTCATTGGCACGTGCATGCCAGAGTCCACTTTTACAGGTAATTACTCGATTTTGTATGTTAAATCAGTTGCAGTGCTATCTGGTTCCTTCTCAAAATAATTTTTTTGCAGGGGCAAAAAGTCTTGATCACCCCAAATACGAAGCCTGGTAAAGAGGTCCTAGCGAGTTTGGTTAAGGCAGTTCATGGTCTGGTGCGTAGTTCTCCCTGGTCTTTCCTTTACATCTATCTTTATTTATTGTGACAAAGTAATACATGTTGTTTGATTTATCTTTGATGATCTATTGATTGATATGATTTTAGGTCACTATTTATCATTGCTAAAAGTCCTTGGATGGTTTAGTTTTGGCATGAAGAAGTAGATTAGACATATTGGGATGTTTTATTCTCTCCCCTTTAAAATTAAATCTCCATGAAGCATCTTTCTTAACGACAATTTCAGAAAGTCTGTTGTAGATGCTATTGCTAGATTGATGATTGAAATATTTAATTAAGAAGCCTGTTGTACCATTAACTGTAAGCTGACTGTGTTTCAAGTTGATCAAAATATATACTATTACTGTGTACTCCTGCACTTCTGTATATTGGTCTCGCAGGTTGTGATCTCACTGCAGTGAGTAAAGTTATTAATTGATCCTCTAGTTACCTGATTCCCAAACATGCCTTGAGTTAATTCTATTTCAATGGCATATGCATCACTTTTGAAAACTGAGTGAAGTTTTTAAAGGATATAAAAGAATCAAAAGTTTTTTTTATATTGATTTTGTCAAACAGAAGCATTGAAGATTATACTGTTATTTTTGTTTGCATACCTAAATGTTCTCTATCACATTGTGAAGATGATAACTCAGTCTCAAGAGGACCTTAAGAGAAGCATGTTTGTAATAAGTTTATAGATTGCTTGCTATTTAGGTGACAATGATATGCAAGAATGGATTTTGGGAAACATATCCCTCTTTTAGCTGTTTGTACACATAAAAGGCAGGCCAATGTCAGATTAGCTTTCTCTGAACTCAGAATGCATGCATGAATTGATGATGATAAGACTTTTTTTTATGATGATAAGACTTCCATTAAGCAGATCTATTATCTTCAGTCTTGGGTGTCCATCATTAAGGTTCCAAATTCCAACTTTAAACATAAATTGTTGAAGATGAATCTAGTTTTTCTAGGTCCCTGTTTACAACTTGAGGTTGGTAAAGACTTTTGGTCTAAAGTTAATTTAATGGTGTGGTCATAACCAGGCTCTTGTTTCTGTTCTTTGTGTTAGTATTTCCAGCATGATGAGATAACTCTTTGAAGTGTGAGGTAATCCTTGAGCGACCAGAGTGCGATGTTGAGGTGAAAGTGTATTCAAGAGTCAAGAGTGGCTGCTGTCAATTTTTAGTCTGAGGCAGGGTATTTTGTCCGCTGCAGTTGTCTCTGTGGATCAACCATCTTTCTTTTTTCTTTTTCTTTTTCTTTTTTTTTTTTCCCTTGTGTATGTGTGTATGTGTGTGTGCTTGTGTTGGTTGTATATAGGGGCCTGGAGAGATAAATATGCTAATTCTCAGATTAGATTTTCTAAACACAGGTCAGACCAAGCGCAGTCTCTGAACATGAACTGGAATTTGGAGATCCAGTAAAGATCTGCCTGTAGATCTTGTCACTTAGAGCGATCCATCTGTTGTTATGCCTAGGAAGCATTCAATCTAAAAACTAATTGGAAGTATGCAACAGTATTATGTATTTTGTTACGTTTCAATGGTTTTTTTTTATCTTTTGTGCCAGTTAGGAAGAGTGACATAGTCCACATTGAGAATTATACTAGGGGAAGAGGAGGACCAAAGTTAACATGGGTAGAGTTAGTAAAGAAGGATATGATTGCATGTGGTTTGACCAAGGCTGTGGCCTTAGAAAGAGCGGAATGGAAACATAGGATTCATGTAGCCGACACAAAGTAGTTGGGAAAAGGCTTCTTGTTGTAGCTTAGGAGTTGTGAAACAATTCCTATTGCCCACAGATGACAGATTCTAAAGCTGCCCTGGGAGTTTTCTTAATTTAGGTAACTTCTCTGGGTTGGCTAAGATTGAATTTGTAAATCTAGAATTGAATTTTAACCTCGACTTAAATGCACTCTGTGTGAGAAGACTTCTCCCTAACTAAAATTCGGACTAATAAAAAAAAAAAATTCTTTGTAAGTGATCACTGTGCACTAACTGCACTTAATGGAGAAATCACTAATAATTTGTAATTTTAAGCGGTTAAGATATCTGGATGGTTCTAATTCTTATTTTCTTATATGATGTTCATTTTTTTCCTTTGGGCCAATACACAATACCAGACCCCAACCTTCATTACCCAATGTGTTGGATGAGAACCAACAAGATTGGACTAACTAATACTCTTTGGGAGTCTTGAACTCCTAACATCTTTCTTAGCAATCACACCCTACCATAGACTAGCAGGTTATTGGAGTTGCATATGTTCTCTAAAGATTTTCTATTGAGGTATGGAGTGGGATAGAGATTGGGGTTCAATTTAGAAAGCCATTACCTGGTGGTGGTTCCACCTATGCACAGGGAGTAGGAAGGGAATAAACTAGAGAGAGTTACCTCTGACATTAATGACTTTTTTTTTTTCACAAAGTTCTAACTGTTTGCTCTTAGACTCGAACATGTGTCCTCACACTTGGCATTCCAATCTTTGACCGCTAGTTAGTATGTTGGTGTCCAGTCTTTCTTTAGATTTTCTTCTTTTCCAAATTTTGCTGCTGACAATTGCCACATGGTTTCTATTTCTCTATATGAATTCCTGAATCCTGACTCAATTAGCTTCTACGGATCTTTCAATTCCTTGAATTAATTCTCAGTCCAGTTGAAATGGTTCTCAGGCAGTGGAGAGAATTGGCAGATCTGCACTGAAGGATGATAGAATTCCAGATGATTTGTTGGTTCTATCTTGTGAAGAAGATTATGCAGTTTGTGTGCCATTCCTCGAGAAAGGTTAAGAATAAGTTTACATTTTTCATCTGTATCAATTAATAGAATAAACGAATCTTATTAGATTTGCAACATTACTTTTATATCTGCAGGAGCAGCCGTTTACAGTTCAGAGCTGCTACTGAATGGAATAGTTACTCAGAAGCTGGAGTTTCAAAGGTTGGTTTTCTGTAGCAATGAATGCATAGAATTCATGTGAAAATCAGTGGGAGATAACTGTGCCATCATTTTTATTATAAGTGCGTTCTTAGGGCTATGAAAATGCTTAGGAAGATGATTGAGCTATTCACTGTTTCGTGAATACAATTCTTGAGGCTGATCTTAGCAATGCATTGATCTCTCTTAAAAAAAAAAAATTCTGTAATTTTTCTTTGCCACTGATAACAGAATGAACTGACATACAAAAATCATCTATTTCTAGGATCATTCCTAGGTTCATGGTGAATGGTGCCCCTAGGCACCATATTTCCACTACATAAAAGGCGAAGATTGAGCTGCATATCTCTCGTGGTGAAAAAATAAAATAAAATTTGTTCTGGCTTTTCTAATGTTCTTGCACGCATATCTTTGATGGCAGACATCGTCTCTTTGTGGATCATTTCAAGAGAACGCGATCAACCATATGGCTAAAGAAGGACAGTAATCAGTCTATTCCGGTGACTAAACGTAAATAAGATATTGTTATTATTTCCCCTTCATGCGTTCTCTGTTCAGCTTTAGGCTTCTGGAGATGTGTTTAAATTATGTCTTAGTTTTTTGTAACAAAGTTTTTTTTTTAATTTTTTTTTTCTTGTAAAGAACAATCCAATGTACATATTTTTCTTTTTTACTCATGATTTGTTGCTTGGATATGCAAAAGATAGTCTGGGCGTCTTGTTTATTATGATCATTTCTTTTTTCAGACGACCGTACTAGTGACATATAAAGAAAAATCTCATGCATTCAACTTTTTATGGCTATAGATATAAATTGAAGTGTTTTCTACAAAGATTCTCTTGTAATTTTTTGTTAGCAATAATTGGACTTGCATGTCGAAATTTTGCTGCCACAACTCCCGCTTTAAAACCACTACCTCCACCATTGATTATAGGACAGCCACTGAGTTCGATCTGATTTTCTATGTAAGTTCAACTATAATTAATTTAATTTTTTTGTGTTGAATGATAGCGATTGCTATAATAATATGATTAAAAGGAAGAAAGACGCAAGTTAGAACTGGTAAGGTTTGCACTCTCTCTCTCTATTAATTTTTTTCTTTTTTTCAAAGTTACTCATCACGTTTTTCGGAGAATTATAAAGGATAGGCACCAGTAACGTTGATATATTACACACCATTTGTGAATCTCATTATTAATTTAGATCGAGTGAAAATCTTTGAAATTTTTATATAATGAAATATAATTCACACGAATTTAAGTTTTTTGCATTGTACCATGCGGTTCAACTATTTATGTATTTGTTAAGTATCAATTTTATATGCAAAACAAAATCTTCTTCCATTTATACGCGTACAACGGAATATATGAGCCAAACTGGAAGTTTGATTCTTTCTTGCCCTATTAAACAAACACACCAAGTACCAATTTATCCCACTAAGTTCATTCCAAATTTCGTAAATGCTTCCAAGGAGAGAAGCTCATGTCACATGCCATTAAGGAGAACTAATTACATTTATTTTGGATCATGGCACTAGGAGAAATGTTACAGAGATTACAACAGTGCCCTTCAAAGTGAAAATGAGTAACTCAAAGCTCCTTGTGACATACCCTCTAGTATATCTAGCTTTCATTTTTGTTTTTGGAAATCATTGTTTCTAGGAACTAACATTTACACCAATGTAATCAATATATATATATATAACCTGCATGAATGCAGCAGACCTTGTTGCTCTCCAGATTCTGGTCATACTGGGGGAGAGTTTTGGGAAACCCTAACTCGCCAAGCAAAATATTGAATATAGAAGGAGTTGAGACTCATTGCTATTCCAAAGCCCAAAATTGAGGATAGCATTATTGCATAAACCGCCTTCAAACGAAGCTGCATTGAGAAGTCAGCTATCATAAGGCTTCATACTTTAGCCACCATTAAAACAAGAATCCAATGTTGAAACGCAACATAATATATTCAAGATTATTAGCTAACGACTAACATGCACGCATTAATTTTATGCTGATTGGAGATTAATTGTTTCAAGAAGATAATGATTAGAGCAACACTAGTGAACAACCCCCCATCTCAATAACAAAGCGATTCAGGAAAATAAGGCAGGCAGAATTCGATTGCTATAATAATATTTCCCAAGTAGCTAGGCATTCATAGCTCAACATAACTTTGAACTGTGGTTTCGTACCATCTGAACATTATTTTTTTATCCTGCTAGTATGAAGATAAATAACTATATAGAGTCCCAAATTCAATTGAGTCGGCCTCTATGTACATCAATGGTTGAAATTGAATTACATATGATGCGGTAAAATTGTAGTGGAAGTGATGCGTATATGATGCACGTGGTCATAATCCATGTAGGAATAAATCCGAAATAAGTAAAGGAGACACAGAGAAATGTGGGAATAAATGAAGTGGAGGGGAGTCGGGTTTGCAGCAAGTGACATGGCAGATTTCAATTTATTTAGGATTACTAATCTAGTCTTTTATCTTCTTTATCTAGGAATTAAAAAATAAATAAAAAAATCGTTACTTTTGAGACAATGCTCCTTTTTCAGGTGTCTTACGGTTGGCGCCGGAGGTTTTTTCCCTTGGAAGTCTATTTGGCGATCCAAGACTCCCCTCAAGGTGGCCTTCTTTGCTTGGACTTCTATCTTGGGTAAGATTTTAACCCAGGACAATTTGAAGAGGAGGAATAAGGTGGTGGTTAATAAATGTTATTTGTGCTTGCATTATTAGGAGACCGTTGATCACCTTTTGCTTCATTGTAGCTTGGCTAGGGGCTGTTGGGATTTGATGATTGGGTTGTTTGGGATCCCGTGGGTTATGCCTGGATCCTCTAGAGGGTTGATTGAGGCCTGGAGAGGATTTTATGTGGGGGCTCTCATTCTGAATGCTTGAAGGGCAACGCCTCTTTGTATTTGGTGGTGCATTTGGCTTGAGAGAAATTGGAGATATTTCGATGGAAAGGAAAAGCCTATCTCTATGGTTAAGTTCTCTATTATTTCCACTCTTTTTTGTTGGGTTTCAGGGAGAGATTTTAGATCTGTTGAGGAGTTGGTTGTTTTTTTGGCCTCTCTGAAGGTTTGAGGCGCCTTTGGCCTTGTTTTGTCCTTGGGATTCGCTCCCCTTTTGAGCGATTTTTTTAATAAAATTTATTTATCAAAAAAAAAAAAGTTTTAATATTAGGAATTCAACGCTTTTTATACCCACCACCCAGTTTCCCATTTAAATTCCTCCCCCATGAGTTACTAGAACTTACCTATGTACACATTCACAGCAGCCATTTGAGTATTAGTGAAATCATGTTTGGTAACATTATTCATAATTCTTCAATGGAAAGATAAAGAAGCAGAAGCCCTCCACCACCGTCCAACCATCCCAAAAGAAAAGAGAAAGAAAAAAATAAAATAAAATTCATGAACAGCCGTGAACAAAGTTAAGCATATATTGTTGATTAAATACCACCTATCAGAAGTATCACTCACCATAGAATAGAATAAGTGGAGAATTATGGCCACAAGGGCAAACTCAAGAGCTGCATATGTCCATATATACTCTTTGATTGCTGCATGTGAAACAAGCAACTCTAAGACAGTCATGCCCCCTATATAAAAAAGTTAAAATTTTGGAGGCGCAAGTATGTGTACCTAGGATGACCGCAAAAATAGATGCCAAAACGCCAAGCGTGAAAGAGAACGGAGCAGCAATTATGATTGCTTGGGTTTTCATGTCACGAATCTACAAAAGGAAGGTGTAAATTTGGCACTGCCGTGTCCGATATCAATGTATAAACATGTAAATTAAAATTCTGAATTGGTACTATTTCTGTCACCTCTACTCAAAAGTATATGAATTCTGAATTAGCCTATGAAGCATAGATATGGATGTGGGAATCAGGGGCGGAGCCCTCCGCCCCTGGTGGGAATATGGGATACAAATACAAGAAGTTATGGATGGATGCATCAATATGACATAAAAAAAAATGATGTGGATGCAACTAGCATGGCAGTACAGATGTATGTATGTAACTACATATGTATATTGTACATATAAAAATTTGAAAGTAATTGTTTGTCACGTTATTTACAAATATTGCAACAAACCCTCATTTTTTACCAGTCTATCAAATGTTTGATGTGCCTAAAATCCCATAAGAAAAATGAAACTTATGTTGCATGGACGTACTTGGACCAAACTGACATGATTTACCCTAATTATATCTCAATTCTTCTTGTCTACGAAAAACAATCCACCATTTGAACTCTGTTTTATTGTTTTTCTTAACAACTATACTTTATTTTTTGTTGAGTTTATCACAATTATACCTTATAGCATGATGATATACTAGAAACGCCAAATCTCTTTTTCGGACATATGAACTTTTTAAATAGTGGATCCGTGTTTGAAATTAAAAACTTTATTTTCAGGTTATAAAATTCTTAGAAAGACGCGTATTCACAAATATCCAAGTATCAATGTCCAATACAAACAATATATCCTATAGTTTCCTTCTAGAAGAATCCATGCTTCATAGCCGCTCACATTCTGATATTTTTATGTCCCTAATCATATCAAAATGGCTACTAGATCATGATAATGGAAGCACAGTGAAATAGCCATTTAAGTGATCACTAGGATGCTCATGCAACTTTTTGATCCAAGCAAACTGAAGTGCTCTTAGCTGAACAGTTGAACTAAGGTGGTCCTGATTCTACATCCTTTGTATTACTCCATGGAGGATCTTATGAGAAGACTTGCCCACTATGACGCATCAAAGAAGCTGACGCTTGGTCATGTGGGGTCTGAGCTCTGATTGGTTGTCTGAGACAGCCGCTTTGAAACATACCAAAGATCAGAGTCATTTGTGTGTTAGTAAAAATGGATTTGAAAGTGAAGCAAGATGGGTACTAATTAGTGAAAAATGACAAAGACAGCTTGAACAAATATTTTTGGAGCTATTGTTTTTTTGCATGTATGATAGTAAGTGTTAGAGATTCTTGTCCCATATCGGATCCAGATGGGGAGAGACTTGGGCATATATGAGAGAGTAGGCAGCACCACCCAACAACTTAAGCTTTTAGGTCGGTTGGCAAGTGCCCGACCCGTTACAATTGGTATCAACGATCGATCCGGTGACACGCTAAACGCTTGGTTGGGAGGTGCCCGGGTCAGCCCTGGGTAAGCAGGGTGGTTCGACCACAACGAGGGTGTGATTCTTGTCCCACATCGGATCTGGACGAGGAGGGACTTGGGCATATATACCGTGAGCCACTGTATTAGAATGGTAAGCTGGTGCACAAAAGAAGTATAATATCAGAACCCACCCACCAACTCTGGCCTTCTACAACTCTTTAACTCTGATCTTGAGATGGCTGGATACATTTTCTGATGCATTTTTCTATACTAAATTCAATTTCTATTTCTTATTAAGAAAAGAGATAAAATACAAGATTTATCCTATAAAAGATATCAATCTAAATATATTGATGTTGTTTCTGCCAGATAGCTTACCAGTAGCTGCTCAAGGAAGAAAAAATAGCATATTGTGCTAATTAAAACAAGCACCACAAAGTCTTGCCAGGCACTGCATAAATTATGAAAAAAGAAAATTAATCAGAATTAGTTAAAACCACCACAGGAAGAAACAACAAAGAGAGCGAACCCATGAACACTTTTAATTGAAAGTTAGTATATCAATTAAAAGATTTGATTTGGACTTCCTTAATTCACTGTGTCAGCAAGGATTTAGTTGTACATTCCGATAGTGATTTGCTCAAGGGTGACATTGAGTTAAAGCCGATGTCATGCAGATGAGTCATAATGAATTAAGAACATCAGCTTAGGCTGAAAGATAGTTGATCAGATAAGTTAACTGGTCTAGCAACATTGAAAACCAAATTACTTCGATGAAACTTTCAACCATAATTCACTCCACCTTTTTTTTAACAAGTGACCATAATTCACTCACCTTACTGATCGCGAATTCAAAATCTGTTGATTGCGCTCCTGCCTGTTATCTCTTTGAGTGGAACTCGACAAACGAAGCAATGTCACTGGTAAGTTCAAAACCTCTTTCCCACAGACCTCGCAAATCTTGTTTCCTCTTTGGCTAAACCACTTAATTGCACATGCTTCATGTATAAGTCTGAGAGCACCTTTGCAACTACATTCCATCTTGAGTGTATTTTCTTCTTCACAAGCTTCGTAACAGATCCTGCATATTGCTTCCTCTTCAGGAATCTCTTCATCATCATCTTCCGTTGGAGCAGGAGTTATTTGATCTGATTCTTCACAAAGCAGAGTAGTACAAAGAATAACGGTAAACAAGAGACTATTAGACATAAACAGTTAAAACATCAATCACAAATTATTTTACCAATTTCTGATACACAGTCTGAATATAACCCGACCTTCAATGGATAACATCTGAATTGTGATTCTAGATCAGTTACACTGCCACATGTATTTGACTTTGTGACTTGAAAACATGTATAGTTTTTTTTTACAAAAAAAAAAAAAAAATGCTATCATAGTTATTTCTAAGTCTTTAAACTATTTGCACTGAAAAAAGTTAGAACCATTGAACAAACACTGGAAAACTCAATCTACTTGGACTCTTGGAGCATTTCTATATAAATAATAATAATAATAAATAAAGAGTAAGCAAATCTATAAAATAAAAGGAAAAGAAGAAGAAGTAAAATTGCCTGTATTTCAACAATATAGATTTTAAGATGGTGCAACTTAGACAAATCATATACTGATGGAAAGATTTTCCACTGCGTTACGAGTCAATAAAAGCAACCCAAAGAAGGAAATTTTTTTTTTTTTTTTTTTTTTTCCCCGATATGTAAGCTGCAGAAGGAATTCAAATAGAGAATATATGTGAAAACTACATACCATCATTAGGATCTGTACTTTGAACAGGCTCTTTACGTGTAGCAAAAGACACCGATCTTACAATAACAATATTTCTCCCAGGAATAGAGAGGGACCTCGAAACGGTAGCTTGAACAGCCCCTATCTGTAAGAAATTAACCACAACTATTTAACTTGACAAGGTTCTAGACCATTGATAGAAAATATGCTTCTAAATTAAGGCATTTCAAAATTTGAAGTTTCCCTGTGGTAAGATAATGATCATATAAAAAGAGAAGAGCCTTCTAACATTAAGTAAAAAATGCCCAAATCAGTAACCTGCTGATCCCAAATAATTAACAGTAACTGGAAAGTACCTCTCTTTTTTTCTTTAACTCCATCTGGACTCAACACCTTATCCCAACTAAGTTTGGCTAATTAAACCTTGCTTCACCATTCTTCTACATCTAATGCCATAACCTCAATCTTTCCTTACTATCTCAATCCAAGTTCTTTTACTCCTTTGTCCTTTCTTGATGCCCCACAATAAATGTCCACTTTGAAAAGTTAACTTACAATGTCTTACAAATTTAAAATATTAAACTATTAAACTTCTACAGTCGATGTGAAAGAAAGGTTAATTTTGAAAATTTACCCTTTCCAATGAAGTGTGAATGAAATAAATGCTTATCATATTAAATTTGAGGAAGATTCTACCAGACTACCACTTTTTAGGATAGAAGGAGATTTTTTTTTTTTTTTAAGCTTCCTGGGAAGTTCAATGAGATAAAGTACCTTCCACGCCCTTCAACAGAAAGATTCCATTTGTTTCAATGGATAAAATTTTAAAACTGTGATACATGATGCTATTTTTCTATTTCACTCTTTATAAGGTCATAGCCGCAATCAAACCACATGTTATTATCACATACATATATAATATCAGGATTATGAGAAATCCTTTTTTTTTCTTTTTTTCTTTTTTTTCAGTTTTGAAGCAGAACATTATATATTTTTGCTAGAATTGCAGTTTACTTGTAGCCAGGCATGACCACAGTGCTAATCCATTAAAATGATTTATTGAGATCAGCTTCCATGTAAAACCCAATATTAGAAAGAGTAAATAAAATAATTTTTTGAGTTCATAATCCAGGTGCAATACAAGTGAGATTAACTTACATGTGACTTCTGCCTTTCACCATATGTCCTTGCTGAAGCAGGCGTGGTAGCTGAAGGGGACAATTTTGAGGCAGGCGACACTGGAAGAGAAGTACATCTTTTCCAAGCGGACACTAAATTGGCCAAAACTGGGCTTTCGGGATCCGAATTGAGGAGAGAGGTTTTCTCACCGTCAGGTGCAGTAACTTTCTTCTTGAAGCTTAAAGCCCGAAGAAAGCCTCCTGATGAAGACCCACCTTGAGAGTGGAGTAATCCCTTTCCACTACGGCTACTGCCAAAGCCTGAGGGCCTAGGAGGTATTTGAAGGGAGAGATCTGAGCACCTCACTCTTGGTTCTGAATTTACAACTTCATTTGTGGGACTGCTTTCCAGATTAGCCTGCATGCAATTAACATTTCAACAACTCTTAAGCCATTCAGTTTTTGAGCTTTCCAGAAATATATTATCTACATTGAAGTGTATCGCAGACAGGTTAGATCAATGCATCAAAACCATATTGCAAACTTGCATGCTTATTCCAGGTCAAATAATAGTTTATATCCCGCAAGGTGAGAATCAAGATCAAAGAGCTCTACGGATTAAACATGTTCTATATATTACTAAATGATATCATAAGAAATTATTTCTACAAAAATATACCTTTTCACACTGTTTGCTAAAGGATGGATGCCATAGAAATTTTGAATCCCAACTTAGTATCTAGATCACTTGTGAACTATAAGAAATGATACACAAATACTGAGAGTAACAACTTGCATTCAGACATTCCTAAAAGTCATGAACATGGCACACAAGTTCCTATTTTTTCATATTTAAATTCCAGCTGCAAATTTAAAGATGCGACGCTTCAGTGGCATCCAATTTTTCAAGTACCCCATTTGGATAATCTCTTCCATTCAAACATTCCTAAAAATCATGAGAATTGGTCACTAGTTCCTATTTCTCTATATTTAATCAAGATATGCCACTTTTAAAGCCGTAACAAGTCAATTGCATCAAAAATTGCAACAACCCTATAATTTGTACCCAGAAATTATTAATAATTGTCAAGAATCAACTTTGGTTTCGCACAAAATCATTAAAAGATGGATTTTGAAACCATAATTCTTCACATAATTAAAATATTTAGTCCTAAACTTAAGCATACACAATTTCTTCTTAATTTTCTAAAAATATGGTTACTAGACAAATTCAGCTGAAATAGAAGCAGAGAACACGTTTAAGCCCCCAAGAACTCAACAGTGTCAGGTAATTTGCCGAAACTAAACGAAATACAACAAAATTAAAAAAGGGCACTTAGACATCTGACCACTCTTTATGGGTAAAATGATCTAAAGTAGCATTTCTGGGTAACAAAACACAACTACCATAACAAGACTTGCGTATACTTACTCAAAGACACACACACACACACACACACATATATATAAGAGAGAGAGGAACCTTTGTTGGATCATCTGCAACTGAGATAGTGACTGGATGGGTTGCTTGCATTGTTTCTCGTTCTTCCTACTTAGGCTCGAGAATAAGAAATGAATGAATAATTTATGTTATATTGTAACAGAGAAGATCAAGATCTAGAAAAGAAAGATTATTAATTCTGAAACTGATAGAAACTGTGATTCTAAAAATATATATATATATATATAAAGATATTTGTTGAAGAAGAAGGGTCAGGATTAGGAGAGAGAAGAGTAAGGTGGACTATGGTCGCGTCTGCTTGGAAGATGGCCATAAAGTTAAGTCGCGTGGGACCTACTCCAAGTCTCCAACTAGCAATTTCGTCTTCTTGTCCATTACAATATGCAAGGTGAAATGTTTTACCCAATTACAACTCATTATTTATTTATTTATTATTATGTTTTTTTTTTAACGAAAGTACTAAAAATACTCCTGAATTACACACTTTATATAAAAGTGTGCAAATACCCGTGAAATTCACTGGATCAGTTTTTCGGCATTTGTTGATTTGAAATAACTAAAACAATATTAATTATTAAATTATATCAAAGAGGAAAAAAAATCCTAATTATGAAATACCAATTTACCCCCACTAATTCGACTGCCAACTCATCAACTGATTCAGATACAGAGTGAAGATGGTCCCAACAGTGTTACCACCAAGAGTCAAAGTCAAGCCACGATGATAGATATAGTATGCTCAACATAGAAGTTGCAGAGAAGCTGTTCACATTAAAAAATTGAAGGAAAACGAATTTAGAAAATTTCTAACCTCACGAAGCTTCACTCTCATTTTCTTTTCTAAAATCAGATTTTGCTTTTCTTTCAATTCCACTTTCTCTCTCTAGTTTCCAAGAAAACCCAAGATTTCTATCAATTTCCGGTTCCTCTTTTTCTTTCATCAGACAATTCTCTGCCTTGGAGAACGCGTAATTTAATTTCCCCTTCAACATTGCTTCTTGTTCTTACAATGCCCAAATCAACCCACTCCATATTTTACAATTTATGCATGTGTTATCATCAATTTCCAGAAACCAAGTAAACTCACTCAAGATTTAAGTTAGTTCTTTGTCTGTCAACTTTTTCATGAATTTCTTGTCTTTAATTGTTATATAACTCACTTCATATTTCACAATTTATATTGTGTCAGTTTTGTGGGAGAGAGAGAGAGATTGGGTTTCTGTTGTTTGATTTGATTTCTGTGTTTGTATTTTAGTATTTTTTTTATATGGGTTCTTGTGTTTTGAATCTTTTGATCAAGTTCATTGTTCAACTGTATTGGGTTTTATGTTTTAGATTCATACTTTTCATGATTACCACTGATCATTGTTTATCAAAGAACATGAAGGGTTTAGGAGAAAGAAACGTTGAGACTCTGTAAATAATTTGAGTTTGCTCAATTTGGTGGCCTAATCTTCAATTTGTCAATTATAGATTTTCAAATTTGCAGATTATTTGTATAACTTGATGTTCTTACTTCCTATCATTCCAAGCCAGTAGTTGAGATTGTAGGTTTTGATACTTTTCTGCCTCCCCCAAGTGAAACCCTATGGCGCAGTTGGCGAGGCGTTGTCGGTTGGTCCTGTTTGGGTTGCAATTCCAATAGTTGTCGATGGGGTTTCCGGTGAGGCATCTCCAATTCATCATCGTTCTTCAACAACCCCATAGTATTTGATGTATATATATATATTGGATATGAAATTTGTAATTACATAAATATGATGCTTATCAGATCAGATCTATGATAATTCAACTTTCCATTAACAAATAGCTTCACAGATGTCTATATACTACTAAATCTATATATTATATATATATATATATAAATACACTGTGTGTGGAGTGAGGCCTTCAGACATATAATTATCACAAGATAAATAAATTTATATATATATATATATATATATATATATTAAAAAGGGCAGTTTCGGCATTATTATAATTTCATATGCGCGTGACTACACACGTTAGAAATGTTGATCCGGTGGCTCTCGGTATTTGCACACTTTGATACTTTAAAGGGAGATTTGCAATAAATTAAATAGTTTAAGGAGTTTTTTTTTTTGCACTTTTACCTATTTTTTTATGAAAGTTAAACGTACGTTGGTCTTATTTTAATGAAATTATTTATTAAATTTTATTATCTCAATTTTTTTAAAATAATAGAAAGATTGACAAATAAAAAGATTATGGAATATTTTAATATTTAATTTCTGATTTTATTTTCTTTATTTGATGGTCGTACTAAAATGTCAGTACTTTTCATGAATAAGACTGAGAGTCATATAAAGCGAGAGCAGGAGCGAGAGTGGGAACGAATTTAAGAGCAGGAGCGTGAGAGCCGTAAGTAGTGAGAATTTGAACGAGAACATACGTAAAAGTGACATTTCTTAAGAAAGATCGTGTAATTTAGCTGACTATAACAAATAAAACTACTTTTCTACTCGAATTCCATTTTTCTTGAAATTTGAAAGAACGCTCTTTCAGGCTTTATAATTCTCTTAATATAAGCTTTATAATTCTCTTAATATATATATATATATATATATATATATATATATAATTTCGTTCAAAACCAAAAAAAAAAAAAGAGAAAGTCGGTATGTACCTGCTACCTTTATGGTATTTTTCTTTAAGGAAAAAAATCACGTAACCTTCCGCACTATCATTTTCATTCAAAAAAAACCTCACTAAAATTAAACCTGAACTAACAAAACTTATCATTTTATTCCCAAACCCATAATTGACCAATTATTAGATTGTGAAGTTAAAATTCAACCTTATTATTTAATATTAAATTAAAACTTAAAATTATTTTGAAGTGACAATTTTACCCTTTCATTATTAACAAGACGACGTCGTTTGTTAACAAGAGGGAGTACCCATCTTCGCCGCCTGTGCCGCCAATGCCGACAACAGCATCTTCCCAAACCCTTTCCTCCTATAGCACTCCCTCACGAACAAATCTTCCACATACAGTCCCGGTTTGGCCAAGAATGTCGAGTAATTGGGGAAAAACAAAACAAACCCAGCAACAACAATCTCATCATTAGGGTTTGATTTGAATGAATCAGATTCTGGGTCTTAAAAGAGAAAATCTTTGTAAAAAGAGAAATTTAAGATTTGCAATCACAATTTCTTATCTTTTTCAGTAACCAAATAAGTCATTAGAAGCAAATCAAATACCTTTAGTGTCTCTTCGTTCACATATATGTATACACATGTATATATACAGATATATATAAATATAGATAGATAGATAGATCGATAAGAAATGCCTAATACAAATGTGTGAAATCTTCGCCCCTCTCTCTCTCTAAAACCAGACTCATCAAAGAAACAGAGCAAGCATTTTTTTTTCTTGTTAAGTTGAAGCAATTTCATCATATCGGCGCTCTCTCTCTCCTCTGATTGATCCGTTCACGAGTACAAAACCAGTAATCCAATGGAGAAACTCCCTGAAACGCCTTTTGGGACTCAAATTCATTCAAGAATGACTCTTTTCGACTCCAAAACTTCGAATTCCGAACAACAAACAGATCAAAATTACAACGTAATAATCAAAATGACGAACAGATCATGAACCCACTTTTAAAGGGGTATTTTTGGAATTTTAAAATAAGAATTATCAATTAAAATTTTAATATTACATCATGAGGCCAATTTTGACACTTTACAACGTAATAATCAATTTTGGGGCAACTCGACTACTTTTGTTAGTTCAGGCTGTTTAATTTTACTGGGGTTTTTTTTGAACGAAAATAATATTATAGGGGATAGGGACGGTAACGGGGGCAGGTTTGGACAGGTGTACCCTCCCCTGCCCCCGCAACTGTTTAAAAATCATGTTTCCGTCCCAACCCAAAATCGTAAAAATAGGGAAACTTTCCACCCCATCCCTGTAACCGTTTAATATTTTATCCCGCGGGTACCCGTTCTGCCCCGTTTAAGACTAGGGATGTCAATTTTTACCGTCCCACTGGGGCTTCGCCCCGTCCTTCTCCGTTAATAACAGATATGGGAACACTTTTTATACCGTTAGGGCGGGCATGGATACAAATTTTGTACCCGTAGCAGGTCATAGGGCGGGTACCGGTTCAATATATATATCCTAGGGGACCCGCCCCGCTAAGCATATAATTATATTTAATATATATATGTGTGTGTGTATATATATATATATATAATATTAATAACTTATTTTAGCGGCTTACCCAGTTACCCATCTCTTACAATCCTAATTTGGGATGTAAACTTGGTATTAAATTTGTTTTTGTTTTAGTTATGGTGGAAGTTGAAGCTTAGAACTTCTTGTGATTGGTTGTATTAAATTTTTATTTTTGTTTATTATTTTCTCTCAATTATGTTTGTGTATGTTATTTTTTTATTTTTGTTGGGATACATAATTTCATTTATATTGTGTCATTCCCAGGCTTTCCACATTTAAATAGTAGAAGCTTAAGTTCCAAAAAGTGGGAGAAAAAAATTTGTTAGCGGGGCGGGCACGGGGGCATAGTATTTCCTAACGGGGCGGGGCTGGACATGAAAATCCAACCCGTCGCAGGTCTAGGGGCGGGCATGTACTTGACAAAAATTAAAAAGGGCGGGGCGGGATTTAGGGAAACCTGCTCCAAACCCGCCCCGTTGCCATCCCTATTTAAGACCATAAATTAATTATTGTTGAAATGGATTTGCCTTTTTTTTTTTTTTCTTCATCTTCAATTCTTCATCATTGCAACTTTCTTTTTAATAAAATTCATTTGTTACTTTAATATTGTTATATAGAGTACTTAATATATAATAGAAAATACTTAATATATAGGAGGAAATATATATATTAATGAAATATGAAATAAGGATACTTAAGTAATTTGTCTATCTAAACGGGGCGAGGTGGTGCCGGGCGACCTCCCCCCGCCTCCGCACCAAACTCGTGCGATTTTTTATTGTATCAAACCATTCCCGCGCCAAATAAGCAAAACGGTTCCTCAAAATCGTCAAAAATAGGGCGGGGCAGGGCGGGTAACCGCATGGGCGGATCAAATTGTCATCCCTAACAGGGGGTTATGTGATTTTCCCCCTTTCTAAAAGCAAACAGGTTGACCGGTTTCTTGTCAATAAAATATATATAATCTTCATTTCTTATAAAAGCATTGTAGTTCAAAAATGTCAGCAAGGGCAGCACGTACAGAGGTTTTTTTTTCTTCCTTTTCTTTTATTTTACAGTAAATCCT